ATTAGCATCTCACTAGGAATTAAAATTATGTAATCATTTTCTTCCTAGTCAACATTAACTGCTACTATTCACTAGGTATATCTGGTGGGTAGAAATTTCTGAGCCCATAATATATACTTTCTATGTACTCTCAAGATCAGACAGAAAGAGGAAGAAGGTAAGAGGATAAATGGAGCCTGACAGAAATGGAGTGATCACTGTATGAAATCTGACTATGCAGCAACTGCACCTGTACAAAACATAATGAGAACAAGCAACAAGCAAAACAGGGGTTCTACCTGCCTAAACAGATGTTATCAAGTCTACACAGAAAAGATCACCAGATCTATTTACAACTGTTTTCAGCTCAGTTTAAACAAGTATGTTTATATGATTTTCAAGTTTATATCAAATTAAGGCAGCAAACTGGGAGAGGGAAGAGAAGATGCTACTAGCAGGTGCAGTGATAGCAAAGCAAAATCGAAGCTGGCAGCTTAACTCCAAGGAAAGTGACCAAAACAAACAAACAAGCCCCCCCAAAACAAACAAACAAACAAAACAACAACAAAAAAAACCCAACCCTATTAAAAAACACCGGGTCTTAAAAAAGCACAAGAGTTCCAGGTCATTGCATCTGGGAACTCCTGGCCCTTCTTCTGAGCTCGACTTGCTCGCCATGCAGTTTCCAAACTGTGTTCTTTAGAATTCTGGAGATGTCAGCGAACCTCAGACGCAACAACAAGAGTGGCAGAAGGAGGTAGACGCCAGAGGAACACAAAGCACGAGGCTGTCCCTCTGCAGAGGCCACCTTCCTCCAGAGCAGCCTTCTTCGTTTGCCTTACTTAATAAGGCTCCCTTGATGAAAGGGCCCTTTGTTAAAAAAAAAAAAAAAAAAAAAAAGATTTTTTTTAAATTAAAATTTGACCACCACTGATGTCCATATTCCAGATCCTTAAACTCAATATGCTCCGATGTAGAAATGGAATCTATGCCAGGAGTTGGGGAGAAGGAGGAGTAAATAGGCGGAGCACAGAGGATTTCCAGGTTAGGTGAAACTAAGTGTCATTACACATTTGAACAAACCCACAGAATGTACACCACCAAAAGTAAGCTCTTGTTAACTGTGGACCTGGAGTGACAATGATGTGTCACTGTAGGTTCAGTGACTGTAATGAGCGAACCAGTCTGGTGGAGGATGCCCACAGCTGGGGAGGCTGTGCACGTGGGGGTGTGGGCTACAAGGGACCTCTATCTTTCACTCAATACTTGTTATGAACCTAAAAGTGCTCTAAAAAGTAAAGGTTATTAATTTTTTTAAAAAAGAGAAAGAAATGGACCCTATTAGCCTTCTTAAAACAGTTTTACTTCCTTCATTCCCTATCTGTTGCTAGCCCCACTCTCTAATCTGCCCAAGCTAGAGACCATGGTGCCACCTGTGACACAGAACCAGCCCATGGAAATTCTATCCTTCTTCTTCCTCAATCTCACATTCAAATAATCACCAAATCCTGCCACATATTTCGTAGCTATGTCCATTCCAGACGTCCCCAATGAGTCTCTTCCACTCCAGGAAGCTATATTCTACATTGAGGGGAGACCAGTTTGCCACCCCAAATAAGCCTTTCGAGATATTGATTTTAAGCTGGTTATTAAGAAATGAAAGACTCAGAAAGAACTTTTGACCTTCCCCCTTTATCTGCCTAGGGGACTTCAAATTAAAAAAAAAAAAAAAACCTGTTTAAAGGGAGAGAACTAGTCATCTTAGCATATTTATCTCAACATACATGAATTAAGTGAGACAGACAGGAAGAGCCAAGCAAGTCGGTTTGTTGGACTCCCTCTGTGTCCCATTGTTTCTGGGTGGCCCAGCAAGAATTTGTTTACATGTTTGCTCTTTCTCAACTACCTGTGAATTGCCCACTTTCCCTTTGAAATCCCACACCCCTGCATCCCTCTCCTTAGTCCAAAACTGGTCACATAAACTTCAACCATCCCATGCATCCTTGGGTCTCATATTCTTATGGCATCCCTATATGTACATATGTAATAAGTTTTGGCCATTTTCTCCTGTTAATCTGTCTCATGTTAATTTGATTATTAGCCTGGCCAGAAGAACTTAGAAAGGTGGAAGGAAAATTATTTCTTCTGCTTGCACACTCCTGTGCCTCCCCTCACCAGCCCATCTTCCTGTTGGGCCCCTCATCTGATGTTATTCCAAATCCAGAGCTGATCCTGTCACATTCCTAAGTAACACATCTTGCTGTGACACTAAAGCTGAATTGGGACAGTAACTACTTCCAAGGACTGGAATTAAAAGTGCTTTATTTGTGCTTTAAAATGTTTCTCCAAAATTTCTACTATAACCATGTATTCATATATTTTACATGAAAAAAAAAACAGTATATATCATGAGGAATATGATTTATTTCATGCTTGTAACATCAGTTTCAAATCAGGCTCCTCACAATCTAGCCTCCTCAATCCACATTCCCAGCCTCATCAATTCTCACCTCCTTTGCCCTTCACCCCTCCTCTCTGCCCAGAAGGCCTTTGCAAAGCTACATCCTGCTCCTCCTTCAGGCAGAGCTAGAAGCCAACTTCCTGGAAACCCTCCCCGTGGCCCCCAGGCAGCAGCATTAATCAGCTCCCCACAGCTCCCTGGCCTCCGGCAGCCCCTAGCATATACCTTCCCAGTACACTTGACTCCTTGTGTTTGTTCCGAGTTTTCCCCAGAGAAGCCAACCTCTTTCTAAAGGCTACAGGCCACGCCAGAGTGGTGTGCACAAATACTTGGTCTGGTACTCAATAAACATTGCATAAATGAAGGTAAAATCCAGCTTTATCAATAACATTAGCTACTGTATTATTAAACCCTATGTAATTAGTCTAACTTCTGACCTAAAAAGCCCATTGCTTTGTTGATGTGATACAATTAATTCCTTTGAAAGGCAGAATAATATAATGCTTTCCTCCTTCCTGTGCATTTAATCGTCTACTTAAGGTGTAAAAAACACCAACGTGCATTTAAATACCTGCAAAGTGTTAAACAGTTATAAATAACATCAAATATTTTTTTAAATGGTGTGTGGCAATTTTTAAAGTTTTATTGACCCATGTGTATTGTGGGAGGTTGAGTTTCCTGGCCAAAGGCTGCCTGAGGGATGAAGATTATACACTGATGTAGAAGAATCATTAATAAGCTGTGTTATGGACTGCTGTTTGAGGAAGCTCAGATTTTTAATTGTCATCAACATTCATGACACAGTGGAGATGGTTGTCCACCACTACCTCACCAGCTTCACTAGGTGCGAATGTAGCCATTTTGAAGCATCGCGCTACTTCGATTTGTGTTGAACGTCCTTCAACACCCCTTAGCTTATGTGATGTTCCTGTTCAAACCATTTAATACCTCTCCTTGACCACAAGTTAAAATTTAATAGTTCTCTTTGCCTACAGATTAAAATCCAACTGCCTCATCCTTCCTTCTACCTTACCCTACAAAACACCAACTTATCTGAGGGCAGAGGAAGGGGAATAACTAAAGGAAGAAACTAAATTTATCAAGTATCAGTGATGAGCCAGACACTATGGTAGGTGCTGGCCGTTTCAAGATAAGACACGTTCCCTTCTTGCTATGATATTACAGTCCACAGGGTGAGACAGAAATCTAAACACATTATTACCAGACAGGTGATAGATGCATTATTACAAGTGCTATTAAGAGGCTCAGGGAGCTTTCCCGTAGGAGGGGTCACACAAACTCACTCTTGAACCAGTAGAGAATAAAGGGGAAAATTAGGGAATCAGCGGCTCTTTCTCCTGACAGACCTGGCAGTGCAATTCCAGGCCTCAGCATCCTTAAGTTCTCACAAGGACTTACTACAAGAATATCCATTCCCATTACGCCTTCTATTTCACCTCTATTTAGAATTCCACAACGCAAATGAGATCATTCTAATTATCTTTGTCAAGAGTGACTCAAAATTCACACATAGTAAAAACGAAATTCTAACCAGGAAAAATATAGAGAAATCCAAATAGACTGCAATTTTTTTCACATAAGAAATCTTATTATTGGGTAAACACTTTGATATTTGCTTTCTTGACCTCTCTCTCTCTCTCCCCCTAATTAGGCTGGAGACCAGGATTTTATTTCATATGTTGCTTTATTTTGTTGTTGTCCCGAGGCCCTGTTGTGGTCTTCGTAGGGAGTATAACTACAACAGGCACAGAGTATATAACTGAATGAAAAACCTATACAGGGCCCCCAGAATTGATTAGTCCCATCTTCTAGGGCAATTACTTCATCCACAAAAATCACAACATTTTAAAACCCCAATATATAATCAATACAGTATTTTGAAAATAATTAAAAATGCATATTTGCAATAAATTTAGATCAATGACAACAGGTGCCACTCCTTTGAAATAACACTTAGGCACCAACTTGCCATAGTTTGCAAACACAGCCGATCTAATGACTGCTTTGTGTAAACACATAATTAACCAATAAGCCCAAAAGGAAGCATTTATGTACAAAAAGGTTTTTGAAAAATGTCTAATCCAATTTCTGCTCCTAAAGATGAAATATCACTATTAGAAAATTTTTTTTTAGGGAAAGAATAATATAAATGCATCTACAAGGGAAAGAAAGCCACACCAGACCTAAAATCTTTTTCGCTTAACACATTTTCTCATCTTCCACATTCACTGGCTCCTAATAATCACTCATATCATTAAAAATAATTATTCACATCATTACCCACAGACGGTCCCACTTTATGAACAAGTTGTGCTCATTTCTGTGATGTCATTTGGAAAGTTTTCTTTATCTCATAAAAACAATGTTCTGAGTGCTGATATAGTCCCTGGCCAGTCCACGAAGACCCTCTTAACCCCTAATACAGGTGGCATCTAATACTGCTAACCTCAGCCCAAAGATGTGGCATTACTTTTGGCATCTGCCAACCTGCTTTTGGAAGTACCCCACAATTGCCCAAATGCACAAACTTTTAACTTACCTACTATTTTTCCTTCCTTCTCCAAAGAAACTCTAATGCTCTCATGTGTGATTCT